GGGCCCGCGCGATGGCCGGGTGGCCCTGGGGCGCGCCGGGCGGGACCTTGAGGGGCAATGGGTGCGCGCTGCTCAACGCCTCTCACCCCGCGCCCGGCGGCGGGGAGGGCGCGTGGCTGCGACCCTCGTGGCTGGCCTCCACGCTCGCCTGCATCCTCATCTTCACCATCGTGGTCGACATCCTGGGCAACCTCCTGGTCATCCTGGCCGTGTGTCGGAACAAGAAGTTGAGGAACGCAGGTAGGGGCTCCCGGGGCCGGGCGGGCTGGACGTGCAGCCTCAACTCTCCCCTGACGGCAGCCTCTCCCTTGCCTGGCCACCTTTCCAGAACGCAGCACCCTCAGCTGTCAAGTGGCTTTTTCCTAAGAAAAGCTCAGTTCTTTTCCTTAAATACTGGGGATTTGGAGTCATTTTTCCTAACAGAGACTGAAGCCCCTCGGTTTCCTTTTCCTTTAACCTACCCATTTAAGATGTTTCTGCATAAAACAGCAAGGCGTCTTCAGTTTCTAAGGGGTAGAAAACTTTGCCCGAGTCAGGTTCTCTTTATTTTAGGGGACAGCCCCACTGTACAGTTTTCAATTTCTGAGGTTTATTAGATTGGGAGACACGGGTACAGGTTGCAGAAAGTTCTTCAAGAAGGCGTTTCAAATCAGATCAATGAACTTATCAGTTGCTTGGTTTTACATATAATTTATTTTCCCCAACTTTGTTAAAATATGAGAAAATATATAAGCTAGCAAAATGATAGCGCGATGATTTTAGTTTTGTTGTCAGGAGTGGTTTTCAGTTTTTAGCATACAATTTGAAAAGAACCGTAGGCTCCTAAACATGCTTTGGAAAGTGTCTGTTATCTCTCCAAGTTAGTAAAGAGTGTGTTTACATGTAATATACTACTAAAGCTAATTTAGCGCTTGAGTTAAATTTCCTTTTTCTTCCAAGCAATAAACTGAAATTGGTTTATCATGAGTGGGAGCCTGAGGGCGATTTGGCCACAGGACACTGGACGCTCAGATCTCTAAGTGATGATTAGGTGCCTAGTTCCTTATTTGGAGGCAAACTTTTTGGAGGTGGAGGTGGGGAGGGGAGGGAGCTATGCACTTACATGTTTGTCAAAAGCAATTGTTTTTGTTCCAACCAGGTAGTTGGTCAACACTGTAATTTTGTTAGCTCCTTTCTGGGAGGGCTTCCTTTTTGCTTTCCATAATGCTTGCGACAATGCATAGTTTAAGAATTAGTTAATAAGGACCTGATAACATGAATTGAATTTGAGTTAGTCCGTGGAATAACCTCACTTCGTAGATTGGCTTAAACTAGAGGAATTCTGCCTTCCAGAAGAGGCTCATTCCCTCCTAGCAATCAAAGCAGCTTTCTGTGGGCCAGACACGGTTCTGAGAGCCTGTTAACTGGACCCTCGGGGCAGCCCTGTAGTGGGGTGCCACTGTCACCCACTTTACAATCCGAGCACACAGATTGGTTTTAGCGACCGTAGGTGGTGGAGCAGGTTTAATCGAGAGCGCACTCTACTTCATTGACTTCAACCACTGCAGCTCTTGGGAAGTTCAGATCCTGCAGAACCTTTCATTTAAAAAAATGGTATTCACATGCCTGGAACAATTGTATTTCTTGCAATTTTTATTTTATTTTATTTTTTTTGTGAGGAAGATCAGCCCTGAGCTAACATCCATGCTAATCCTCCTCTTTTTGCTGAGGAAGACCGGCTCTGAGCTAACATCTATTGCCAATCCTCCTCCTTTTTTTTTTCCACCCCCAAAGCCCCAGTAGATAGTTGTATGTCATAGTTGCACATCCTTCTAGTTGCTGTATGTGGGACGCGGCCTCAGCATGGCCAGAGAAGCGGTGCGTGGGTGCGCGCCCGGGATCCGAACCCCGGGCCGCCAGTAGCGGAGCGCGTGCACTTAACCGCTAAGCCACGGGGCCGGCCCTCTTGCAATTTTTAAAAAAAAGAACTTATGAAAAGTGCTCCTTCCATGCTACTTTGTATTTTGTTCGTTTGCTAAGCAACTTTTTGATGGGGCAGTCTATAAAATACTGCATCCTTGTAGCTGACTGGGAGACCATAGTGAGTTTTCATCGGTGTAGCTTTTGAACTTTCATATTTTTATAATTAGGACTTTTTATTCAGCTAGTTGTACCCCTGTTGCAATTAAAACCATTGGAGGCTTTCTAGAATGGATGGTAATTTGAAACAGTGATAGAGATAGCTGATCCAAATATGAATTTGGGGATGTCTATTAAAAGTTCTTATGGTTTTTCAGTCCTTCCATTTCAGTTAAGTTTATTTTGTTGGCATTGAGGGTGAAAAGATGGAAAGAACAGAATGGAAGAAATGAGATAAAAAAATAAGAACGCTAAGTCATCTTAAGTTTTGAACTAGTGCTTTCTCTTGGAATCTGGTATAATTATTTATGACCCCCTTCTCTCCTCAGGAGTGTGTTGACATTTGACTTCCTAGGGAAGAAATTAAAAATGTTTAACAGCCGTATGTCAGGGACACTGGCCATTCAGAGCAGACACAGGCTCCAAATGACCACTAGGGTCTTATGTCTGTCCACAATTTGATACTGGAATTGATCTACCGTATTTGCATCTTCTGAGTAAATTTCGTAGTGTCATGGGAAGATGCCTGCTCTGGAATGCTAGGATTAATATCTGTGCCGTCTACCTTGTGATCTGAGAAATTAGTTAAGGTACCAAACCCTCATTTTCCACATTTGTCAAATACAGAAAGTATCTCATCTTTTAGCCTCACACAATTGTTGCCATTACCTAGTGAGATGACGCATATGGAAATACTTTCAAAAGGATAAAGCAGGTAATGTTATGTGGTTTTTTTTCTAGGTACACCTAACAAGGGTGTGTTCAGTCTGTTAAAAATAATTGAACTATAGATTTATGATTTGTGCACTTTTCTATATGTACGTTATACTTCAATAAAACCTTTAAAAAAATAATAAAGCAAGAGTACAAAATACTTTGCCTATTCAAAATTCAATTATCTGGCAATCTAACCTAGCTGGTATATGGCCAATAAATGGAAATAAGCAAAAATAACGAACTCTCACCCACAGCTAATTTGTCCTGCCTTAGAGTTCCACAAAACTCTGAGGCTAGTGCCTGGGTCTCCATAGATTAGAACATTTAATAGGATAGCACATGTGGCAAACAGCGTGGGTTGAAATAGACTCACTATTGGTGTGAAAAACTGAGCAAGCACAATCTTTTGTGGGCAGGTTGTGAAGAAGCAAATAATTCTGCTCACCGTTAACTGCTCCTGAAAACAGCACAGTGCAATAATGTATTATTAATTATGACCCCGAGCCATCAAGGAAAGGTCCAATTACACACAGTATGTTCTGCTTAAGAAGACAGGGACATAATATTTTAGAAAGACACCTATCTAAAGCAGTTTATTATTATTTTTTAATCTGGTGCACAGTGGGGTAAACTGTCAGTATTGTAAAAAAAAATATGTCCCCAGAATGACTCTAAGACTGGATGATTGGCTCTGTGTTATTCCATTCTTGTGCTTGTTTCTTTCAGGTCTATATTGAATGTTATCTATAAGCATCCTGCGTTACCACTCAGAGAGCTGCACAGAGTAGGAAGAGAACATGGACTTTGGGCCTCACAGATCTGCCTTTAAATCTTGGATGCACCAGGACCATTTTTAAGAGGCTTGTAGGTCTTAGGCATGCCTATTTAAAAATACTATTTTTAAATTGAGGCATAACTTACACACAGTAAAGTGCATAAAATGTAAGTGATGTATTTTTGCATATGTCTATACATATGTGACCATCACTTTTGAGATATGATTTGAAGTAAGGAAAATTATTTGAAATAAGATAATATCATGAAATAATGATTTCATGACTTGAAATCATTTCTCAATGACTTCAAGAATTATTTGAAATAGTTAGGTAATACTACCTTATTATTGTGGTAGTGTTATTATGCACAACTTGAACTAGAATTTATGCCAAATCTAAGTACTGGAAACCACCAACCTGAACTTTTTCTCTTTTACCATCCACGAGCAGGTTGCTGCCTCTGTTGAACTTGACTCTTGGCTTGTGTCTATTGCTCAGGCAGTGAAGGCTGAGGCTCACTGCCTTCTCCATTACCCTGGGCCACAGTCACCATCAGTTCCTCAGTACTGCAGCGTAGGTCCCACTGAATGTGTTCATAGCTACCTTGATAGAGCCCTTGGCCATCCTGTTCACTGTACTCTAGCTTTTATCTTCTCTTTCCTTCCTTTCCCTTCTCTTCCCTTGCCTTCTCTTTTCTTCTTCCCCATATCTGTTTCTTACTTCTTGGCCTCCAATATTCTTTAATCACCATAATTAGATTCGATCTCTTAGTAGAGGTCACACTTGTATCTCCGCTTCCTAATTGTGTCTGTTGTGCATCTGCAAAAAAGATAGCCCTGAACTTATAAGCATGTTATATTCTAGAAGTTCACTCCTGAATTTCTTAAAAGAATATTTTATATGATATTTTGGCTCTTACCTAGCCCACAAAAGTGTTCAAACCAACAATGTGGCTGAAATGATACTCAGAATTGATGGGTCGTCTGAGATTCATGAGCTACTGAAAGCAACTCGCCTCACTCTGAGTTCTGAGCTTTGGGTGTCCTGTGGGAATGGGAAAGAGTGGTGTGGAAGGAACTGGGTGGAAATGTCCCTTATTAACTCAGAAATGCCAGGAGAGGGCTCAGGGACGAGACATGATGATAGAGGGTGGATTTAGCGTCAGGGATGGGGTGGAAGCAAGTATAAGTATACACAGCTGCTCCTAAGTTGAGTGCTCCTATGTTGGGGACAAACATATCAGATCCTATAGGAAGCGTGGAAGGAGTCTGTAAACAGAATGGATCCAGAACCCGGACTCCGGGGCTTCTTAACTGAATGGATCAGTGGTCGTAGATAAGTCATCATGTCTCCGGACTGTTTTCGCATCAGTAAAATGATTGGATTGGACAAGATCTGTGAGTCCTTTCCAATTCTAGTGTCATTTGATTTACGTGATTGTTAAACTCACTGCAAAGTTGGAAATTATAATGCATTGACTAGCAATGGGGAGGATTGTGGGCACAATGACATATACATATACAGGGATCATAGGCATCGTAGATCTAGGAAAGTGTGTCCTTATGAAAGTTTGCCACTTGTCCTAAACTATCTGGTTCACTATCTGCTAGAGAGAAATCTCTCTTAATG